GCTCCGAAATGGGCAAAATGGCCTACGGCCACAGAATGTAGCCCACGGCCACTGAGAGATGGTCTACAGGACCTCTCTCTCCCCTCAGGAAAAGAAACAGAGAAAACCGAGTCTGGTTCGCAAACCGAGGCAAGGCACAGAAAAGGGTTCGGAAGTCCGGAGGCAGGGCGCACGGCCGTGACTCTGAAACTTCTGAACGAGCACACTATGCAACATCACCAAGCGCTCAATCGGTGATGTCTGAGTCTCAAGGTTGGTCAAAAATGGGGTGTCTACACCTAGTTTCAATCAATGTCTGTGGCAGACATTAACACAGTTCATGAAAAAAATAAAAAATAAAAAAAATTTAAGTGCACCAACCCATTTGTGTCTTGTTGGATACAAATGCATGTAATAACAAAAATTTGAATTCACAAAACCCTATTCTACCCACATTGGTATCAATTTGAATTCACAAAACTATTCTATTTTCCAAACTGTATTCAAACTATTCTATCTTCCAAACTTCCGCAATTTGAATTCACAAAACCCCAATTTGAATTCACAAAACCCCACATTAGTATCTTCCAAGCTTCCTCCCTCACTATTCTACCCACATTCACATTTTCACAAACAAAATCAACATAAATAAAATTCAAATTGAGAGAGACACACACACACACACAGTGCCAACATACCTGCGAGAGAGACGAGCTTAGAAAGAGAGACAGAGCAGAGAGCATAGAGAGACCCACAGAGAGAGAGAGAGAGTAGAGAGCGACAAAGACAGAGAGGAACTGGTTTGGGTTTTGGGGGAAAAGAAAGAGTGGTCTTTAAAAGCGTGGTTGCAAATGAGGATGGGTGGGCCATTTTATAACGACTTTTTGTTAAAAGCGTAGCTACAAATCACGCTTCCTGTTAAAAGCGTGTTTCTAAATCGCGCTATTACGCTTAAAAGTGTTGTTAAACTTATTTATTTTGATGATTTATTTAATTATGTTTTTAATTTATTTGGGAGAGAAAATATAATCAAAATTTATTTTGATAATTTATTTGAAAGAGAAAAATATAATCAACATTTATTTTGATGATTTTATGTTTTAATTTATTTGAAAAAGAAAAATAGAATCAAAATTTATTTTGTCCCATTATTTATTACCTAAAACTTTTATCCTAAATGTTGTTAGAATGTATTTAATATTTGATTAAATCAGAGGTTCAAACAGCCCAAAACAAAGGTTCAAACAGCCCAGCACAGTAGCAGGCCAAAAAATTCAAACAACCCAGCACAGTAGCAGGCCAAAAAGTTCAAGTGGAAGATATTCAAATTAGTAATGATGGAGTGGAAGATATTCAAATTAGTAATTATGGAGTGGAAGATATTTAAATGAATACAACGGCTATAAACGGCTATAAATTCAAATGAATACAACGGTTATAAACGGCTATAAGTTTCATTATATATACCAAAACCTCTAATGTAAACAAATTACAAAAAAAATTAGAAAACATTCTTTGATCTATAATCACTCACATCTATTCTCTGAGAAAATCTCTGAGAAGTATTCTTCAATTTTTGTTTACATCCTCTTTCAAAAATTATACACTGAGACGTATAGCTTTAAGCCTATCTTTCCTGTGTGAGGTTTACAGAAAAACCAGTGCTTCATTTTGTATATCCATCTGTAAGAGATATTTATTGTAAGCTTTCTTTGAAAGCAAAAATACAATTTCATTTTGTAAAAGTGTTGCAAACACTGTGTTCTTGAAATCTTGAGAGTGATTATGAATCACCTAAGATTTGCAAGGGTTTGGACTTGTAAAGTCTGTGTAAAATCTATGGAGGATTGCTCCATGTTTATGAGGTTGCTAGCACTCTTGTGAAGCTAGAAGATAGTGGAAAATCTCAAGTGAAGCTTGAGGAGTGGATGTAGACTTGGTTGAAGCCGAACCACTATAAATCTGTTTGTCTCCTCTTCCCTAATCTCTTTACTTTCCTACTACTGCTATAGCTATCTAATATTCATGTGTTAATCATTTGATTTACCTTGTATGTTAGTTATACTTCATTGTTATTTTGCTTGATCATTTACTGCTAAGTTCATCATTGTGCTTGTTATTAATTTGTTGTACTAGTAGTTAATTTTATTGGGGTATTATTAATTTTAATTTGTAGAAACCTAATTCACCCCCTCTTAGGTTGCTTTTTGGGTAACAAGTGTGCCAAATCGCACTATTATTTAAGCCTGAAAACACTAATAGCAACAACGGTTTCTTAATTGAAGTCATGTTTTCTAACCATGCTTTCAGCATTTTGTTTATTTTGTCCGCCTGGGTCAGAAACATGTTAAAAGCGTATTTTGTAAACACGTTTCAGCTTAGTTTGAAAAATTTGGCCAAACTACGCTTAGTTTGGGAAATAGTTTAGTATAGGGGCTTAGTTTGGGAAAAGCCTCCAAAATGCAACCATCTCAAATAGTTAGAAAATAAAAAAAAAAATATTAAAAGGTAATTTTTTTTTCTTTTTTGGACATGTTTTTTTGTAAAAAAAATTAAGAATCATCTTAAACCATCTCAAATCGTGTATCAAATTTATCATTAAATTTGAATTTGATGAAAAATAGTACATTTTTCAGCTCCAGCGGTTTCATCAAATCGGTATCAAATCCAGGATTTCATTTTTCTTTCATCAAACTAAGGACAAATGTGCTTTTCATAAAATCACTGATCATTGCCGTTGGATTTTCACCTCTGGATGTCCTCCCAGATGATCACCTCGAGGCAAAAGTTTGTGAAAAAATTACACTGGCCGGCCGACCGTCCAGTTGTCCCCCCAGTCGACCCTCAAATAACCACCTTAAGAAGAAAAATTGTAAAAAATTTGCACTAGCTGGTTGACCGGCAGTTTGACGAAGCCACAAAACCCTCCGTTGGAGCATTTGATATTAAAGATAGCTTTTCATCAAATTCTTACTCAAATTTGGTGAAAAAATTGATACATCGTTGGAAATGCTATTACAAATAACTTTTTTTTTTTTTGAGAGATTTGCATGTTAATGGTACAAATTTTTTTTTACAAAAAGATAATAAGCATTATAAATATTAATAATTAGTACTTTTATTTTTTTAAAAATTTTCTTATCTGCACGGTGTAGTTCTATCATATTTTTATCTTATATTTTAACTAGTGTATGCCCATACCTAAAGGTACGGTATAAATAATATTAAGATTAAAATGCAGTTATAATTTATACGTATTATGTTGAAATTTGTGAAGTTTGTATCATTTTTTGATAAAGATATTGGAAAAATATATTGAAATATTTTTCTTTCTGAAGAATTTGTAACAATTTTGCTTGTGTTATACGCTCTACAAAACACAAATAAAATAATAACTCCCCCTAATCTTAATGCAAATTAAGAAACAAAAAATTGTAAACACTGAGCAAAAACAAAAATTGAAGTTATTGTATACTTGTTAACATTTTATAATAAAAAGAAAAAAAATTACTAAATCTATATAATAAAGCACATCAACAAATTGAATTAAAAATTAAATATCAAACAATACATAAGAGCCTGTACTCTACAATTCCAAACAAATCAAATATATAAAAAAAAAAATTAAATATCAAATAATGTACACCAGCCAGTGCTCTACAATCTAAAAGAAATTAAAATTAAGAAATTAAAATTAAAATGCACACTAGTTAGTGTTACTGCTGCTAATCAAATTATAACTACATAAGAAAAACAAACATTATATTGTCATACACCAAAAGAGTGGGTTAAAATTTTACAATAAGTGGGTTAAAGCTTTGCAAAATATGTATACTTTACAAAAATTGTGTCAATAACATGTTTTCAAACATGTGTTTACTCAAACTTCCTTCTCATTACTTTCCAAAAGTCTTTGTATTAACTTGTATGCATCCCCAATGAGGAACATGCACAACAATCTGATAATTTGTGGAAACAAAAAAAATATAGATCAGTACATTTGTTGGAAATATACATATCAAAATACTTTGAGATTGAAATTACCTTATTACATCCCCATCGAAGCAAGCTAGTCGTATTTCTCCTTTTAAGCTCCATAGAATTTTTGATCCAATCCTACAAAAGTCCATATTTCAAATTATTATTAAATTGAAATTTTATAAAAAGTTATATAATCAACAGAAATAAATCTACATGGTTACCTTCTGATAAAACGTGATGTAATTTACACAGAACACTACAACAACATTTCAGGATAAACAATATTTGTAGTAGAATCCAAACTATCTTTAGGGAGGAGAATACTTATACAATCAAAGGATGTACATCTGGACAATGCCACATATAATTGCCCATGGCTAAACATTGGTATGCGCAAATCAACCCCAACAAATTTCACAAATTGTCCTTGAGATTTATTAATGGTCAAGGCGTATGCCAATCGCACTGGAAAATGACGTCTTGTCATTTGGAACGACATTTCTGAAGAAGATGGTGTCAAAGATATCCTTAGTATGAATGCCAAATTGCTAAACTTTTCTCCACTTAAAATTTGAGCTTCAATTATGCAAGTGTCGCACCTAGTAACCATCAATCTTGTACCATTACATAATCCATCTTTTGGTGCAATGTTTCTCAACAATATTATAGGACAACCCACTTTCAACTCTAACTTCAAAGTTGGCAGCCCAGGAGGATCCAATGAATTTAAATATTCATTAGTATATCTATTTGTAATGGTAGGATTAATTTCATTATCTTCAGACATTTTATCTGCTACAAGATAAGTATATAATCTTCTTGGAAAGATATTCAACGCAGTAGTATTAATGTCACTGACATCATCGTTACGCGCAGACAGAATTGTGCGTTCAGTTAAAAATGCTGGGGTTGACGTCTCTATCATATTCAACCGTGGGTAAATTGTAGAGAATAATTCATTCAAATCTTGACATTTGTATATTGTTGATGGAAGGTTAACGATTTATTGAAGATTGGTCCCAATCTAAAAAAAGTGAAATCAATAAAAAAGTAAGAGTGTAAACACAATTTATTAATTTAAAATAATTTATATAATAAGGAAAAAAGGTTAAAGTAGTATTACCTCCATCAAGAAATTTACAAAATTAACATTTTCATGGCCTTCATGATTCAAACACATATTCAAATCCAAAGTTAAGATAAGTATATGCTTCCATAGAACAAAGTGTCTTAATGATGCATTCACAATTTGCTCATGAACTCCTTTGGGTATAACTGGTAAGATTTGTCGAAAGTCTCCACCAAGAACAACAGTAATACCCCCAAATGGCTTTTCACTATCACAAATATCCCTTAATGTACGATCAACCGCTTCAACACAATGTCTATGTTGCATAGGAACTTCATCCCAAATTATGAGTTTTGTTTCTCTAAATAACTCAGATTGTAATGATTGTTTGCTAAACCCACAAAGTGAATTTTCCAGGACATCTAACGGAATGGAAAATATTGAATGTGCAGTGCGGCCTCCTACCAGTAACAATGATGCAATTCTAGATGAAGCCACAATAACAACGATATGCCCAAGGCTGCGACATTTTAATGCAATTGGATTGTACATAAATGTTTTCCCTGTTCCAGCACCCCCATTTAGAAAGAAAACAATTCCTTTATTTTGAAAAACTGAAGAAGTGATTGTGTTATAAGCATTCTGCTGTCTATTGTTGAGACAATAAATAGTAATTTGTGGATCTGCCTATTGCGCCTCACTCTGCAGTTGTTGATGTTCGAATATCAATCGATTACCAACTACTGCGCTCCAATTTGCAGTAAGTTGTGGCATGGGTGGGAAGTCAATTAAAATTTTTCCTGATTGATGAAACATTTGATTCAAAAGATTGAGACCATAATCTTCAATTTGAGCCTCAGTTAGGTTAGAAATGGCAAACAATGTACGAATCTTATGTGCAAGATCATCACATATATGCATTAAGAATTGATTCCATAATGCACAAAGATTTAGTGGAGAGCACTAGGTGAGAATAATACTAAACAATCTCCTCAATTGATATTCAGTTTTCATAACTGCAGCCTCTTTCAAGCATTGTATCCATTCTTTATCATCTTCTAAAAGCCCCCTTGCAACACATGCTAATTTAAATGTATCATGCACAACATTATCGACCGTGCGTAAAGACTGAAACGACTTTGGTCCATTGACAACGGTTAGTAACAAACACAGATAAAGTCTTTCACCACAATTAGGGCTAGCAAAGTACATTATACCAATTGCATATCCCCTTTCTCTTAATCTCCACCTTTTTTTTGACTTGAGCCAAACAAAATGTTGTGGAAATTCTTGATAAGTGAATGAACATTCATCTTCACTGGCAGCACAATATGCAAAGAAGCCAGTAAGAGTTGACATTTGTTGACCAGCTCTAGATTGAATCGTTTCTAATGACTCTTCTAGGTTAAAAACAACACGATGCATTCCAGGTAAATGAAGTGCTAATCGTACAACTATTGGCATCTCTGCATGCAAATGATGACCAAATATTCGCCAAGCAGCTTCTGGATGTCCAATATACCTTGCATCAAGATATTTTTGAATCTCATTTATCATTCCTAACACCATCATTGTACAATCATAACCCTTATAAATGTACTTATGTATATACTTGACACATCTTATTCCGGCACAAACTTCCACATTTATATGACAGTTGAAAAGTTTAGAAAGATATGCATTGTATGGTACGACATCCCTATTATCAACTTCTTGTCCCCTCACAGTATGTACTTGACCATTATTGCGACGATGATAGATAGGGTATCCATCTTGATCCATAGTTGTTGTTTTTGTGAAAGCTCAAGGGTATCTCTTAGTGTATCTACCATTTTCCATACATGGTGCTTGCAGATTTCGAGCACCACATGGTCCATGTACCATACAACATTTGATAGTTTCAAAAAGTATAGGATCATCTTTTGGGTCTGGAAATTCGGCACAGACCAATTTGTCTACTTGAGCACATGTCCGAATTTTGTCTGGAGCCTTAAGAAATAAAAGTGCATGCATATGAGGGAGGCCTCGTTTTTGAAATTCAAATGTAAAAACATATGCAACTTTATTTCCAAACACTTTATTTGTTTCTATCTTCTTCATCAAACATTTTCTCTTCAACTCAAAAACACAGGCAATTAAATCAGGACGATCAATAGGTTTTTGATGTGGTAATAATGTGTAGACGCGCCCGCGTGAGGCCTTCGTGCTACAGTTCGGACTCAATTTGTGTCACGGTTCTTAATCTGAACCAAAGAGTCCAAATCCGGCAAATCGTTTTGAGAAACAGATTTTTTGAAAAAGAAGTGCCAAACATGGACTGCTTTGCCAGATACAGAGTCGCCACCTAAATATTTTATTTTGGAAAATTTAGGAAACCCTGACTCGGTGCCAAAGGCCACGTGTCCGTCATCACCAAAGTTGCCTCGGCTCGGGAACTTGGGTACGATTGGGGAAGGTCACTTCGTGAGCACCCCCGCTCGCCCGATCAAAGATCGGCCTCTACTAACCATGATATCTATTTTTGAAAACATTATGCATTCTTATTCCGATTATTAGCCTAGATTTACTATGTGGTACGCACAGCATACAAGTATAGACTGGATCGTTTGAATTGGAACAAAACATTTCATGTTTGTTTGTTTGAAAATGGTTTGATGGTGCTACTCGCAAGTAGGCTAAAAAATGCATCCGAAGAGGAAATAGTATCTACTGTTAAAAGCTATGCGAGGCTTCTTTTGGTTGATCTTCAAGCTTGTGTGGTATCTAATGTTGATTTGTTTAATATTTGGATATACCACAAATTATGATTTTATATTGAAAGGTAATTTGTGAAAAAAAAGCATAGAATGTATTGAGAGTAAATTGCATTCCTAAATAATTTAATAAAGAATACTAAGAAGTTAGATGTACTGAACGATTTTTTTGGGTGCAAATAGAATTCCCGAACAAGTTGGGTTCATATTTAAAACAGTGAATGCAACTTGAATAATTCTTTATCAGAATGATTCAGTGGTGTGATGGTTGTAATTAATCACATTTTATTGAATACTTCGTGTTAAATGATTTAAGTCTCAATGCATCATATAATTCTGTATACAAATTCTTGTTACTTTTTTTTTTTTTGATTATATAGCAGCATCTTAATTTTCAATTTTTCAAATTTTAAGTTCTTCAAAATTTTGGGAAAAAGAAAATCAGATTCAAAAAAATCTGCTAAACTAGGTGAAAACTCGTATTCTTAAGACCATTAATTTGCATAAGAATTTGAAAATAGAGAGAAAAAAAAATGAGAAAAATATAAATTTATTTTTTTCTCTATTTCTTTTGCCTTTTTATTTTGTCTTTTAAAAACCAATACCACCAATGCATATCCTCAAAAGCCCACACAATAATATCTAACAGCTCAACAACCCAAGGATCTAGAATGGAAATGAAGCCAATATTAATACCATGTTTTAGACGAGTCACTGGTTTAATTATCGGATCAAATCGTAGCGTTATAAATAATTTAAAAATATATAAAATTTTAAATTTATATTTATATATTTAATTTATTTTAAATTTAATTTCTAAAAATATTTATGCATTTGAAAAAAAAAAAAATCAGAAACTATATTAATATTTAATATAACCACCAAGCTAGCTTTATAATTGAGTAATACATATGAGAAATTTACAAAAGCATTTTGATGTAACATTTTACACTTCAAAGAAAAAATACTTCATGCATAGACTAGGCCACTTTGCTTGAACCGGTACCGGGTTGCGGTTTAACAACAGTTTAAAGTAATTTTCCAAAAATAAGCCATTTTTTGAAGAGAAATGGATTTGAGGGTTGATTCGAACCAGAAAACGGTCTCGATTTTAAAAACATTGGTTGCAACCCATTGGATAGGACCTTGTGCTGAAGTATTCAAAACCAGACTTTGGGTTATAATGATTTTTTACCTAGCCTTATATGTTGAACGCTTTGAATTACTAAGACAGACTTGGGTAATGGGCTACAACCTGAAAGCTGGACTGTGGAGACAAATTGGGGTGATTCTATTTTGCACCCAAATGGTAACTCAGTATATTCAATTAAAATTTTGAAATTTTAATTCTTATTATATCTTAATATAAATTTATTAATAAAGACAATACATATTAAATTCTAAAATAAAATATTATTTTTTTTCTTATAGTATACCCTAATTATTTCTACGTATTCAATTGAAAGGGTTTTAGGATTCATGAAAGAACTGGGTTTAGGATCACAAAATTTCAAAACTTTGAAGAACAGGTAAGTCCTTTTTCCTTTGGCTAAAATTTCAATCAATGTCTTGTTTAATTTGCAAAATTTTACGCCATATAAGATCTATTCATGTTAGAGCTTCTTCACAATCCACCACAATCTTTATTTCTCAATGTGACTTGAAATGTTAATATATATAAATATGTTTATGATTTAGTTGTAGTATTTGTCTATGCAATGATCGTCATCGTAGCAGAAGTGCATAGGATAATAGCTCAACTAAGAAGTAGAACTATTAGTCTAGAGCCTCAATTCCTGCCACTATCTATGGTCAAATTCCTCGATGACATGGACAGGGCA